GCCCGTTCCCCGTCCATCTCCCCACAGGGTCTGGGAGTGTGCTTTGCACCTGGTGCACACTCACTAAATGGTCTTCGAACAAACAGCATTATCCTCTGACCCCATATCAGAGGGCAGAATTTGTCCTGGATTAAGTAAGATAATATCTTTGCATGTAACAGTATATTGTCTTCAGAATGCGCTCAGATGATGAAAGAGGAGTATTACGATCCCCACTGTGCAGCTGAGGAAAATGAGACTCAGGGAGGTTAAAAGCTTTGCACAAGGTCACACAGCAGTAAATACAAGAGCCAGGACCAGAACCCAGACCTTCTGACTCAGTCTAGAACTCTTCCGCTGCACACCCTGCCTCTGTGTGAATCCACGTAATAAGCTTGACTTGGTGATGGTTACCTGGGCTTGAGATAGTTCTTTGTTCATGTCTCATCTGTTGTTAGGTATCTGCCTGTCACATGAACACCTAACTATGTCTTAGGTTCCAGAGGATAAGGATCGGTAGATAGAACTAGGCAGTTACTATAAACTATACTTTCTTACATGTTTCTAGAAAAATTTAAGCCACAACTTACTTAAGCACAAGACCCCAGTACGCTCTTACAGGGGCCTTCTCTCCCCGCTAGGGAACACTCTGCAAGGCTGATATGAGCACAGAAGTGTGCTGGCATCTCCCGCCTGCCCCTCTGCGTCTTCTGTCCATCTTTCCCTCCTTGCTCTGAGCCCTGGTTCACCCACTTCTTCTCCACGCTTCCCCTGCCACAGGGATTCCATCTGGGTTCAACCAATGGGAGCCTGGCAGGAGATGGGAGGAAGAGAGGAGAGTGACGTTTGGCTGTTTATTCCCCTGACTCCCTCTCTGATCAGCTGTGACCCACGGCTGAGGTCTCTGGCTCTTCTCAGGTGGTCCTCTCCATACAGCTCTCTGACCATCTGCACACATTCAGTCCTGGGGTAGTAATCAAGGTAAACCTGCCCAGAATATGGGCACAAATCCTTTGACACTCCTAACACCAAGAGGTGGGGGCTGTGTCCTCTCCCCTTGAAAGCTGGGGGGCTCTGTGACTACCACGGACAATAAAATACAGTGGAAGTGACACTGCTCCGGTGTCCAGACTGGCAGCTTGTACCAAGGGATGCTAAGGCAGACCTGTTTCTGGAGAAGCCGTCCTCCCTGGCAGGTCTATCTCAGATTACCCAGAGAGCCCAGACACTCTCAGCCAGCCTCTCCCCGCCCCTGCATTCGGGGTCAGATCGGCACTGCAGGTGGACAGCGCCCCCAGCCTTCCCCACCTCATTTCCTACTTTCTCTCTCATGTTGAGTCCTATCTTGGCATCCTCTTCTCTGAGGACCCAGACTAATACAACCACACCAATAAATATTCAGCCTTGAAAATTTAGCATTGATAAATTAAACATACAGACATTAAAACTAGTTCTTGCTGAAGAAGGGCTGTACCATTAACCTATAGTCATAAATAACCAGTTTTATACAATGTGATGTCCAGATCTGTGGCCAGATCTAATTCCTACATGACCGATATTAACACGGTATCATTTTCTTTAATATTATTTTTGCCAAGTATAATTTGCACCTATCTCCAAAAATGTGTCCTTCCCTAAATGTCCAAAAGAGGCTTCCAGTCCCTTATCCAAAACCCTGGAGATCATGTGTACTTTGGAACTCAAAACTTTTCAGAAAGTACGATGTACATCTGCCACATTTGACTTAACAAACCAGCAGGTCTGAGGTAGAACTCTATAATCAAATGCATTAATATTTCTTTCATGAAATGTATAAATATTAACACAAGTACTATAAAAACAAATAGCCTTGAGGCAGTTCAGGCATGGGTTTGCCACCAAATGAGTTTAGCAAAGGTTAGACTGGACCACCATATGAATTATAAAAACACATTCAGTTTTCAGAGCTTTTCCAATTTTTGAGTTATGCACAAGGGACGTGGACCCATACAGCCACACTACAGAAAACTAAGCAACCCTTTTAAAAACACCACTACTCCTTTGTACTAGCACAGAGGAATGATCGGCCATCCCATGGTGTGGGATGAAGACAGCACATGCCTTGCAAAGAAAGAACACAGAGTGGGGAGAAGAAAGGTGGAGACAGTCTGCACTTGCCAGGACCTGCCCACTCCCCACCGTTTATTACCAACCCTTAGTAATGGCTTCACTTCTGGTTAAGAAATGCCAAGAAATACTGTCTAGGAGTACTGATTGTGATGTGGGAAAAATTTTAAGTCTGAATTTATTTATATTATTTATGAGATGCAGAGGGAGTAAGTTCACCTCTGCAAAAGGCCTCCACTGACAGCAGGTAACTAAAATGTTAGGCATAAATTGGGGCTGAGATAGTACACAAAGGAAACTTATTTAGGGTATGAAACGAGGCTCAAGGCAAGGGACACAGAATGTGAAAAATACGGGCAGGAGCCCCTACAATAGACCTGAGACTTCCGGACATCCCTTCCCATGTCCGAGGCGAGGATACAGGATGTGTCTGCTCCCAATGGGAACTCCTCAAGAAACACCAGAGCCTGGGCTTCTTCCCTCCTCTGCCTCTGAGCTCCTGTCCTGCCACTCATGAAAGGCTCGTCTGTTCATCGACCACTCAGGGAGCCAGGAGCCAGAGGAGAAGCTGTCCGCATTCCCCTGCTGCCCTGCGCCTTCCTAAACCTTTTAATTCAAAGTGATAAAAAGACAAACAATAAAAAATGAAGAGCAGGGAGAAAAATAAATTAAGAAGGAAATATTCTCCTCAGTTGCTAAATAGCCCTGGGGAGAAATGGTCTGCAATGGATAAAAGTTAAGGAATCTTAATTAGGGAGTGGAAATTCAAATCTGATATAGTAATGTTCACTTTGCATTTTATATATTCAGTATTGGCTGTTTTTTACCACAGTAACCATGTATTTATAATAACTTCATGACTTTTTAAAATAGGATTATTTTATTTGGGTTTTTTGGGGGTGTGATAAATAAGTTTATTTATTTATTTTTGATGGAGGCATACACTCTACCACTGAGCAATACCCTCCCCTCCTTAAATCTCATGTTTTTATTATAGGCATAATTAAGGAACAATATTAGTTAATATACGTAAAGTGCTGTTATTTTTCTCCATGAACCACTGGCTGGGACTGTACTGAGTGCAAACACCCTGCCTGGCACTTTAACAAGCATCATTCCATATGTGTGCTGCTTATTCAGCCCTCTAAGTCTAAGGTACTTTGTCTGGCGCTGGAGATTCCCCAGTGAATAAAACAGGTGTGAACTCTCCCCTCCCAAGAAGCAGGCAAAGCCTTGTGGAGACACTGAACAAGGTACTGAACATTTCATGATTTACTTTCACTTGTGGTAAGTGCTAGGAAGGAGAAGTACCCAGTGACCAGTCAGAGCCTCACAGCAGCTCTCCGAGGAGCACTTTATCCTCAATTATGGATAAAGCATCATCATTAGTATCTGTAACATCAAAGTATGCTAGTTACAATAACATAAAATATCCCAAACTAATTATAATCGCCATTATTGCTATCATATAACAACTTGGGGAATTATTTTCTATCAGCCGGTCAGTGGGAAAAAGGATGGGAATCAATGAGGAAAAAAGCCTAAATATGCGAAAGTGCACATGGATAATTACTCCCAAAGAATTTCCGGGGCGCTAGGAAAATTCCTCCCTGCAGAGAGGCTTAGGGAACTTCAGTACGAGACGCCCACCCCACCTCCAGAACAGCAAGGTACTAACAGAAGGACCACCTGGAAACAAATACAAGGTTTGTCTTTTCCAAAGATATGTCCCATATTTTCTAAGACAAATTTATTTTCAAAGACATAGCCCTTCTGTGGAAACAAATACAAGGTTTGTCTTTTCCAAAGATATGTCCCATATTTTCTAAGACAAATTTATTTTCAAAGACATAGCCCTTCTGTGGGAACCCTCAATATTCTGATGTTCAAACCACATCCAAGATTACCTCCTGAACCGTGAAGTAACACAAAACTCCTAGTCAGGCCAAGTGCCCTGTTTGTTTTGGGAATTATCACCACTCTGCTCAAAAGGCACTGATGGTAAGAGGTGGACATCTTCCATCGAGACCTGCTGCTCTGAACCAGAACTGCCATCAGAGGTACAGCCAGGCTTCAAAGCTGCCGTCATCAGGTACTCCTGGATTCTGTAAGACGGGAGCCCATGGAAATGGAACTTCCAGATACACAAAGGTGGGCGTTCCATCAAAAGGCATGTGATACGTTGCTCCTCGCTTCTCTCCCCACCAGGGCTGGAAACTCCAATAACTAGACAAACATCCTCTGAACTAAACACTATATATGTCTCTTTTCTTAGTGAAAAAGAAAACTCCTTAAAATTAGAATTCCAGGTCCATGGATGTCTCCTGATAGCTCACAACAGAAAAGATATCAGTTGATTTATTATACAAAATGAGCGTATCATGAGGAACTCAGAGTGATGCTAATGAGACAGCCAGCCTTTGATGGGACCTTAACTTGGCTTCACTTTAATTTTTGCTGTCATAAAACTGTTGTAATAAAAAATTATGTTCTATTAAGCAGATGGCAACTCCATAGCACTGGTGCTACCAGTGCCCCCTCTCCATGTCCTCAGCAAACCATGTGCTCGCTTTGACAGACTTGTTAAGCTCAGAGGATGGCACAACAGAGAGCCCCAAGTAGCCACTACCTATGAACCCAAGTAGACGCAAGAGCCAGTCTAGTTGCCAGTCCTTGTTTAGACTGCCTTAACTTGACATTGACAAGGCCCTAGTCTATGACATCAAGGGATCCCATCAGACTTAGGCTGTCAACATCATGAGGACCTGTGTTTGCTATTGGTAAGGAATACGGATGGAAGGAGAAGGGAAATAAGGCTCAAGTCACCATCAAGTCAACCATACTGTGTTCGCCTTCCTTGGCTTCCATCGGTTGTACTACGAACAGAGAAAAGATTACAGCAGCCAATCACTGACCTTATGGAGAGCAGGAGCCAAGACTGGGACCAAGAATCCATTGTAAATGTAACTGACAAGCTGATTACGAATCAAGGGGTGAGCCACCTAAGGGAGAAACAAGTAGTCGTGAAAAAGACAAAGAGTTCAATTTTTAGGTCTTCTTAAAAACAAATACTTCTGTGTATATCCTGAATTCAAACAGGAAAGCCAAATTTTGGCCATTTATTCCATGGTTAAGAATAAATCAGACTTCAAACTGCCATATAATTTTTCCAGATGGTTTATTCCAGTATAAACAGCTTGGACTTGAAAATTTTAAGTTTCTATTTGAAAAAACAGCTAATAAATAGATCGGATATACATATGGACTCATAAATTAAAATCAGCAAACTGGAAAGTATAATTTTTGCTCCATAACTTCATCTCTGTCCTATCCCTACTTGTGACTAATTAAAACAAACAAACAAAAAAAAAAGAATTGTCAAAATGGACATTTAAATACATTCATTTTGCTAGCAGAAAAAAAAATTCTTACTTTAAAATACATTTCCTGATAATCATTTATATTGGGGAGGAAGGCATTTAGAAACTTTTCATAAAAGACAGATACTTTTCAAAAGCAGAAAACATCATCAGCGGTATGATACTTCCTATATTTATTTTTCAAAATATATTTATTCCAGATAACCCTTACTAATATCTTTTATATGTACAATCGTCCCTGGGTATCTGTGGGGAACTAGTGCAAGGATGCCCCCACTCCACCAGGATACCAAAATCTGCAAATGCTTAAGTCTCTTATATAAAATGGCATAGTATTTGCACATAATCTGCATACATCTTCCCATATACCTTCAATCATCTCCAAATTACTTCTAATACTTTGTACAATGTAAATAGTTGTAAACAATGTAAATGCTATGTAAATTGTTGCTGGTGCACAGCAGATTCAAGTTTGCCTTTTAGAGCTTTTTTTTTTTTTTTAATTTTTTCAGATCCTCTGTTGGTTGACCCGACAGGTACAGCACTTGCAAATACAGGGGGCCAACTGTAATCTTTTCACTAGTTCCCCCAAACACACTGGCCTCCATCTCAAAATGTGTTATGAAATGTGTCATTTCTCTGTCCATGCCTGTTAGCTTTACTTCTCTTTCTTAAAAAAAAAATTATAAAGGCAAACAATAAAGTAAAAAGCAATTTCTAGAGAAGAGAGGCTAGATCTTTAAATTACTGATAATCTCTCTTTGTGTGTACATTTGGGAAGAAACTAATAGTTCCATCTTTTTTATTTCCACATACTTCTGCAAGAAAATGTTGATAGGATGCAATACTAAAGGAAAAAAAATAACAAGACGTAATCCATTTATCTTATACATAAATAAAATTTCCTTTGACTTAGCAATAAAAATGAGATGGGAACTAAAGTAATTTACTTGCATTTTCTTCCAGAAGCTATTTCTTTATTTGGTAGATAAACAGATTATAACTAACATTTTTCATCTTACAATCACCATAAAGAAAATTCAATTTCTTAATAAATCCAATATTAAGGAAATATTTGTGCTATATAGAAATAAAACATTTTTGATGAAAACCTACTATGCCCTTAAATATATATAAAATTTGGTTTTTATTGAAAACAGTAACAAGAAATCTGAAGGTAAAAATCTAATCAAGAAGCCAAATATACTAGAGTTCAGTGGTTCTTTTTTCCCCGAAGCGGGCCAATTTCAAAGCAAATTAAATTTGTGTTGCTAAGATGATGCTTAACTTCTTCTAAATTCAATTGGGATAACAATATTCTTTGTGTAGTATGCACCATTAAGCAAAATAAAGTGTTTTCCTTTGTAGACTCCCAAGAAGACCTTGAAGTAAAAGTGGTATAATCTGAAGTACACACAAGCCTAAAAATATCTATTTAATGAATCAGGCATTGGACTTCTTTTTGATGGTTAAGTGGATAATCAAAACAGAATTAACACTTTTTATAAGGAAGATAAAGAAAATCTACTCATTTTTTTTCTCAATTAAAACTTCTCGGAAACCTATCAACTAACAACATTTTCCCTCGTTCAAGGACATTCAGTGTGCTTAAAGCAAAGCGTCAGTATTCCATAAACATTTATTCAGGTAAGAAAAGGGATGCTTATAAGCGGATCCTTCAGGTTGCTTGCATTCTGGATGGACCACGACACGGGGTCCCCTCACTGCCCGGTACCTGAATGACGGCATTGCAGAACTCCAGGGAGTTCATGAACTGGACGAGGGGTGGCAGCAGGAGCCAGTCGTCTTTCAGGAGGCAGTGCCATTCCTCGCCTTTCTCTTCTAGCTTCGTAGGCAGGGAAGAGTAGAGACCACTGAGCCCAGTTGCAAGCACCTGTGTTCGGAAATAAAAATGTAATAAGCTCTTTCCCCAAGTTCTTAACCTGCAACTAACAACTTCCAGGTGATTTCACTGCTGCTGGGCCAGAGACTGTCCTTTAGGTAGCAAGGTAGTATAAGCATTTGGCGACAGCAGCTAGCTGGGAGGACTCCACAGGTGGAGGCAGGAGGGAAGGACAACTCCAGCAGGGGGACCAGAAGCCCCAGAGGTCTTTGGCTAATCCATATGCAGATGCTGTGCATTGCTGATCTCTTCCGCGCCAGGTGTATGCTGGGTTGGGGCGTAGGGAGTAAGAGAGACACATGCAAGAGGAAAAAACATGATTCCTGCCCTCAAGGTGTTGAAGAGAGGGGCAAACCCATAAGGAACGCGTTATATTACAACACGCTGAGTGCAAATGCAGGGGTGGCCCACACTCCTGTCCACGGGAGGATGCCCTGGACTGAGGCAGTACCGGACAGAAGATCTCACAGGAGAACCACAAGTAGCTTCAGGACAAAGATTCCTGCTGACATGTTAAAGTCATGATGGATACGTGCATGGGTACAGTTTAGAAAGGACTTTAATCTCATCTCCACAAATTATAGCAAGAAGAAAGAACTGAGGGTCAGTTAGATGTGATGTCAGTAGTTCAAACAGAACAAAAGGGGGTCTAAACTGAAGGAGCAGCAGCAGGAGAAAGAGGGGCAAAGAGAGCTCAGTATCACCTGTAAAGTGGATGCCAGGGTGATGTAACTGCAATATCTATCCATCCAGTATTAACCCGAAGCTCATGAGGTTTTCCTCCTCCCTCAGTGCTCTGTTCCTAAACGACACTGCCAGCGTTTATGCTCAGGAAGGGAGGGTGAGTGAGAACTCCAAACTGTCCTGTTACTCAGCTTCACCAGGATTAAGATTCATCAAGATTAAGAAAATAGTGATGCCTTAAAGAGATAGAAATGGAGAAAAGGAACACCATGCTGAACATCTGTTGGTTTTAGGCACTTGTGCAGAATATGACCAAGGAAAACAATGAATTTCGCAGTGCTGGGAAGTGATGCTAGCCAAACAGCACCTTAGGGACCCTGACCTGGCAGATGTGCAAAGGATGGACAGAAATGGCCCAGAACAGAAGCCAGGAAGTGATCGAGAGAAGGTGTTGCTCAAGGGTAAGCCCTGAGGTGATGAGGGACTCAATGGGATAGAAACATTCAAGAAAACATTCACTCCTGAGTTAGGCCCAGAAAAGAAACAGCAAAGTGTTCACTGATCTCAGTGTCTAATAAGAGATCAACAAGCAATTATAAGAGTGGAAAAATGCTCAGACTACATGACAGAAAATATATGTCTCTGTGGATGTTACAAAAAGCCCTTACGCCAGACTTGGAGTGTTCGGAGCAGGAAATGTTCTCAGAAGTGATATCCAAGCTGCTGAAGAATAAATAGGAGTTAGCCAGAAAAAGAGTGCTGGAGGGAAAACTACTCCTTGCAGCAGATGTACAAAAGCTCAAAGGAGACAGAGAAGATGGCATCTTCCAGGAATAAGAGAAGGCAGTACTATGGGGGTGGAGAACTAGAGGTGGAAGGAGCCTGGCAAGGTAAGCAGGAGGCAGATCCTGCAGGGTCTTGGAGCACAGAATAAAGAGCTCGGGGACCCAGTGGACAGCCCAGCAGACAGCATGTGGGGCTAACGCTCAGGAGAGGGACCAGCCTGGAGATGGTGATCAGGAGGTGCCGTGTAGATGGTACCTCAAGCTGTGCAGACCAGAGAGAGAAGGGAAGGGAGGTTGAGACACATGAGATAACAAAATAATCCGTACTGCTTGGCATCAAAGACAGAAAGTCAGAAGGTATGCTGAACTTGGAAACATTATCTACAAACGGCTGTCTCTCCTTTTCCCCTGTCTTCTTCCCCCAGCATCCTCTGTGTCCCCTGTGGAGTGACTCTCTTCCCTGCGTTTATTAGTTTCTCAGCCGTCTTCTCCACCTTGCATGGCCTGACTCATTCACTCCAGTCCACACTGGAGGTGCGGATGACTTGTCCAGCACAGGCAGGTATGTCGAATGTCAGAGGCTGGTGATGCTTCCCATGAGTAAGACGCCCAGCTCAAGCACAGAGGACAGGCCCAGGGACTGAGCACCTGGAGGTCCTAGTGCAGGGAAACCAGGTGGCACCCTGGGAGGGAGTCTGGGCAGGGATATGGAATCAGGGCCCACAGTGGAGTATGAGGCAGTAAGAAAAAGAGATGAACAATATTGGAGAAATCAAAAGATTATATACATTTCTCTGTTCTGTTTCCTAGGGACCTTTATTCACTCATTTATTCACTTACATTAAAAAAAAAAATCACTGAGCACCTTAAGGCCCGGAACTATGTTAAGTACAGGACGTACAACAGTAAACCAGATAGTGCACTTATTTCTTTTACAAAGTCAGGGCATCTGTGGTCCCAAAGGAGAATGTCTCCTATTTAAAGTATTTAACTCCTTTAACTTCAACATACCCAAACAAATCACTTTCATTACAGTTTTGTAACTGTGACCCCGGTGAGTTGCCTGTTATAAATTAGAAACCTCTGGCAAGAGAGAACAGAGACCAAAAGTTCTCCTTGAAGGGAAATCTAATCTTGATGCCACATTTTGAAAATCAATTATGTTTGCTAACTCATGCTAAATTAACCACAGAACAAAGGCTTTAATTCCGCATACTCCTGATTCCTTAACCACTTTGAGGCTTTGAAGATGAATTCATAAAGACAGGCTTAATTTGTCTGACTAAAAAGCTGGGAATAACTATTCAGTATATCAATATAATTACAGCAACATTAATTTTCAAATTACATACATCAGTGACAGTAATTAAAAACAGCACATACCTAATAGTCACTTTTTAAAAAGAGGGCATGGCTGAGAGGCGAACAGAAGCCTGCCTGGACAGAGGGATGGTCCAGCTGGACATGGAGCCCTGCCATGTTCTCGCTACCAGAAGTGGAGCCAGAGAACGTCTCCGCTATAGCCTTCAGAGCAGCAGAGGAACACGGGAGAAGGTATCCCGCAGGATGAAGAGTACTATGTGGTCTTAAGAGCAAGATTCCAAATCTTTCCTGCTAAATTTTTACATCATCCTTTCCAAGACCTTGCTCAGAGTCAGATTCCTTCCATATATACTTCTAGAACACTACAGGCCAGGCACTCTACAGCCAGCCGGTGCTGCGGAAAGAGCACTGAACAAGTCAGACAGGTGAGATGGGGAAGACAGCTGGTAAACTAATAAACACAAGAAAGATGATTACTGCACAAAGAGATGTGCAGGGTGCCGTGGCAACAGGATGAGGGAAAAGGAGGGGCAACAACAGCTCTTGTCAATAATTTTTCCAAGAGTTTAATGGAACCATCTATTGATTCTTAAGCTTCATTTTTAACTTGAAAATTTAAAAAAATACATAGACATTCAACGGCTGATTTTAAAAAATGCTCATCTACTATTTTAGCTTTTTATTGATCCTGACCACGAAAAAGTGATTGTTGGGAAGGGTGGGGGGGAGGGATAAATTGAGAGTTCTAGAATTGTAGATACTAATATACATAAAATAGATAAACAACAAGTTCATACTGTATAGCACAGGGAACTATATTCAATACCTTGTAGTAACATACGGTGAAAAAGAATATGAAGATGAATATATGTATGTTCCTATGTGATTGAAGTATTGTGCTGTATACCAGACATTGACACAACATTGTAAACTAACTATACTTCAATTTTAAAAATGGAAAAGAAACTAATTGTAAAACATTATATTTATTCCCAACACATTAAGTATTAATCCAATATTTTTAATGTATCTTTTTTCAAGAGTCTTAAAAAAAACTAATCACCATATAAACCCATAAGGATAACAGACAATTCAAAAAGCAAACCACTTCCCTGACAGCAGTTTAGCATGGTAGCTATCAAGACCATGGATTTCAGTATCAGACTAACATGGTTTTGAACCTGACCCTGCCATTTACAGGCAGTTACTTAAGTCCTCTAAAGTTCAGTTTCTTTTTTGCGCTGTTGCAAGGATTAAAGGAAACACTGCGTGTGAAGAGCTGAGCATCATGGTTTACACACAGCAATGTTCCCAGTGGACGGAAGAAAGGCAACGTGCACAGAGCAGTGAGCAAGTCAGGAAAGGTCCATCTTTAACTTTAAACATCTAATAGTACCCAGTTAATTTCAGCAAAAACAAAAAGATTTTGAACAGATGGCTTTAGTCTGAAGCTAGCAGCAAAACACCTGGTGGAGACCATTTGTGACACCTTGCCAAAATAAAAAGCCTCATAAATTTTAGATATGGGATAAATAATGTTCTACCTGCAGCTGTATACCTAAAGGTTGCTCATTTCAATTTGCATTTCCTAATGTATATATAGGCTGTTTTCTACTCTTGCTCATGTGTAACAAGTGACAAGGGCTTAATCATCAATACTGGCTTAAAAAAAAATCAAAAGAAGATAGGGTCATATAGTCCCCAACCATTTGCTGGCACTAAATTGTTCCCTCCTCCTTTTCTTGGGAAAGCCCATCTTGAGACAGGAGGCAGCGGAACCAGCAAGCTCCTCCTATCAGCCACGAGAACAGAAGTTTGCAAAAGTGGTCCAGTTTCCTGAAGGAGTTATTAGTCTTCCCAAAGCCTGATGCTAACACACTTTGACAATCATACTAATTAGGGAAAGCTTTTTGTCAACTGTGGTCCTTAGCTGGATGGTTAATAGAGTATGCTTTTATCTTCAACATAAAGAGGACTCTTCTTTTTAATTATGTTGTCAGATGTAATTATAGAAAACTGGGTACAAATGAGATTATGGGATCTATCCTGAGGGGCAACTTAACACAATGAAGCTCTGTGTTCCATTGTAGCAAATAAGGTCAGCTGGAGATGTTTTTCCTCCAATTTCAAGGAACTATAAGTATTTTAAAATGTGTCTTTATAAAAGCAACAATTACTCTGTGAAACCTGCTTAAAACG